CGGTTTACTATTTTTTTTTTCGCAATATAAACGGATTAATTGGTTTTCGATGCATTTACAATTTTTTTTAATCATGTTCCTGTACAGTACTATGCCTTTAAAGTACACTTTATACAGATTTGAACAGATAAGACTTTTGTTTTACTTTTTTCTGACCTCCGGAATGGATTAATTGGTTTTCAATGCATTTACAAATTTTTTTTAATCATGTCCCTTTGTGCCTTTAAAGTGCACTTTATAAAGAGTTTTTGCACATATACAACTTTTTTTGACTTTTTTCTGACCTCCGGAACGGATTAATTGGTTTTCAATTAATTTACAAATTAATTTGTAATAATGTCCCTGTACAGTACTATGCCTTTAAAGTGCACTTTATAAAGAGTTTTGAACAGATAAGACTTTTTTTTTACCTTTTTCTGACCTCCGGAATGGATTAATTGGCTTTCAATGCATTTACAATTTTTTTTTAATCATGTCCCTTTGTGCCTTTAAAGTGCACTTTATAAAGAGTTTTGAACATATACAACTTTTTTTGACATTTTTTGTGACCTCCGGAATGGATTAATTGGTTTTCAATGCATTTACAAATTAGTTTGTAATAATGTCCCTGTACAGTATTTATGCCTTTAAAGTGCACTTTATAAAGAGTTTTGAACAGATAAAAATAATTTTTTTTAACTTTTTTCTGACCTCCGGAACTGATTAATTGGTTTTCAATGCATTCCTATGGGAAACCTCTTTCAGTTTACGACTTTTTTGCTATAAGAAAAGTCCCGCAGAATTTATTAAATTTGTAAACTGAGGTACGCCTGTAATATATTACAGCTTACCAATCATTATATGTGATGGTTGCATTAGTTTTCTTTTTTAGGCTTTTTTGCCCTCCATTTTCACCTTCTGTATTAGAGTGTCCTCACTCTGGATTAAGGATGCACAGGAGCAGCTTTGGACAGCAGCATTGTTAGTCTGGGGGTTGAGAAGTGTTATACATGTACTAGCAGTTACACAAACAGCTAGTGCAACATTTGTTTTTCTTTTGTGATAACTGTTTTGACATGAATAAATGAAAGTTGATCATTGTAAGCACCCCTGCCAGTGGTAAATGGTTTCTCTCAAACCCCCAACTGCTACATCTGCAGGAGAGCTTGTTCTGTTGAAAAAAACAAGAGACATACTGGCTAGATCACCAGATGAAAATAAAGGAAAGAAAGCCTAAAAAAATAAAACAAATGCAGCCATCACATTTAAGAATTAGTAAGTTGCAATATGTTACATGTTTGCTTTTGGGTTTATTATTGCTTTAAATATTTTATATGGTGGGCAATTAATTCAAGTGCTCCAAAGAGGTTATGTTTTCATTTAGTTCCTGATTATAGGTGCCTGATTTTTACTTCTGCTATTAATTGAAAAACTTTATATTTAGTACAGATTTGCCTAAAATTCTCCCAGTAAAGAAGTGGATGTGTTAAAGCAGTAGAAAGTATTCACTTAGAAAAGTAAATGTTCACTTAGTGAATGAGGTAAGGCTGTCTTCTCTTCAATAACCCAATCTTTCTAGTAAGCATTCTGCCTTTAATTCTCCTGCAGATGATTGGATATTGAAAGTTAAAACAGCTTTTCCTTAGCTTCCTCTGCCTTGTTCACTCAGGGTGTACATAACCATATGCCCATGGAGGGCTGTGTTTACCCATAAGGGAATGCACAGGTTTTTTGTGCATCTCTGTGCAGGCAGTCCCATTGTTGTCAATTGGGGACGCAGTGGCTGCACGGACACAGAAGCTACTCCCAACATGATATCAATGCAGACGTTGGTGCAAGGCACCAAATGTTACCTGAATGAGCTTGAGCCATGTTGGGTCAGTGGAAAGGGGGGGGGGGGGTGCAGGGGCCTGAATGCATCAAAGTGTCATATTGAGTGTCCATGCAGCTGCTGCATCCCCATGCAGGTAAACATTGCCCTCTATGGGCTTATGGTTATGTACACCGTGTGTGAACGAGGCCTAGAATAGTAAGCAATGTGAACAGCCTTTACGTATATAATAACCACTTGACCTCCTGAGGATTTACCCCCCTCCCTGACCAGGCCATTTTTTGCGTTACGGCACTGTGTTACTTTAACTGACAATTGAGCGGTCATGCAACGTTGCACCCAAATTAAATTTACGTCCTTTTTTTCCCACAAATTGAGCTTTCTTTTGGGGTATTTGATCACCTGTGCGGTTTTTAATTTTTTACACTTTAACCTCCCTAGCGGTCTGATTATGTCCATATTTCTGTGCTCAAAGCGGTACTTTTTTTGCATGGAAATATGTATTTTTTATTGTAGGCCTGTAATTTTTAGGAATAACTCACTGAAATCTGTCCGAACAAGAGTCTAGTAAACATCCCGGGTATGATAAAATTTGAAACACAAAATCATAAATTATAATTTATTAAATAATCATACAAAATAATAATATAATAATAAATTGAATTCAATAATATAATCAAACCAAAAACACTGACATTTGTAATAGAGCGCCAAGTTCGCACATCGCTGAGCAAAGTCGCAGAATCGTTTTCAGTGTCTGATGACGAATTTCCCCACGAATCATTATAACTCAATTCTGCAAGTGGTTCTGATTTACTATCGCTGTTTTCTAGCTGGTCTAAAAACGATTTTGACTTAAAGGGACGCTTTTTGGACGCCATGGACATTTCTCAGTTTCCAGGCAGAAAGAACAGTAAAAATGCAGGCAGGGCACAGGACAAAGCACTAGGGACAATATGTATGTGAAATGGTTTGATACAGTAATGTTTTACTAAGTTATTTTAGTGAATTTAGTGAATGTCACTTTTTGTCATTTTCAAATTTGTCGCCGTTCCGTCCCCCGTACATCCCGACGTCGCAGGGGACGGAACCTAGAAGACAGATGTTGGCATCCGCTGGAGGACATTACAGGGGACACTGCAGGAGGGACATCACGGGAGCGCAGGACAAGGTAAGAGAAGAACAGGTCCCGGAGCAGCACCACATGGTAAGCTCGAATGTAGCTTGGGGTTACCGCTTGTGGTACTGAAACTTTACCCTGAGCTACACTCGGGAATACTGCCAGGGAGGTTAAAAAAAAAAATGATAATTTTTGAGAAAAAAAACAATATTTTTGACTTTTTGCTATTAAACATGCCCAGTAAAAAAAACTGAAAAAATCTATTTTCATCATAAATTTAGGCCAAAATGTTTTCTGCTACATGTCTTTGCTAATAAAAAAAACCCAATGCGTGTAAATTAATTGGTTTACATGAAAGTTATAGCTTTTACAAATGGCGGTATAGATACTGGAATTTTTTAAATTTTTACTAATAATGGCGGTGATCAGCGACTTATAGCGGGGCTGCGGCGTGCATTCTGCCACTGAGGGGAACTGACATGGTGTTACTGACATCTCCAGTGACCCCAATACAGAGATCAGTGCTAAAAAAAAGCACAGTACTAATGGCACTGGGCAGGAAGGGGTTAACATCTGGGATGATCAATGGGTTAACTGTGTTCAGGGAGTGTTTTACTGGGGGCAGTGTGTTGGTGCTTCACTGTAAGCACACTGCTCTGGATGGCTGTGCTGTGAACAGTGTACCCAAGCAGACAGGGAGGAGGACTGTTAGTAAACAAAGCAGCCCTCCTCCCCATCGGAGATCCTCGGTAATCACCGGGCACTGGTGGGTAATCACCGGCCGGGACCCGGTGATTGAAAGCCACAGCAACGAATGGCGGCATGGGTAGGGCACATGCATGGCTCGCTTGCGACCCCTACCTAGAAATTCAAAATCACATATATATACGTGATTTTGCGCACCCCTGCCACCCTGTAGCAGTATATATGCTATAGGGCAACGGGGAAGCGGTTAAATTAATCCTACAAACTTGAATAGTGAGAGAGAACAGTAAAGCACAACCATCACATGAAGCAAAGCCTTTCAAATTAACAAACAAATATGATTGTGCCCATGAAATTACAAACTACACAGTGAGGTAACAATTTTTACCACTTGCTTACGGGACCTTTTACCCCTTGAGACGGCACTGATAGGCAGCAATGTTCTGCACTGATAGGCTGCACTGATGAGGCAGCACTGGTGGGCATTGATGAGGAGGCACTAATCAGGCTGCATTAATATACGGCACTGATGGCAGTTGATAGGCAGCACTGACTGGTGGCACTGACTTACACAGATTGGCAGCACTGCTGGGCACATATTGGCAGCACTGCAGGGCACTGATGGACAGCACTCTTGGGCACTGATGGGTACTTTTGGGACTGCACTGATAATCAGGGCACTGATAATCAGCGCCCTGATTATCAGTTTAGGTGAATCTTTTCACAGTTACCGTTATCGGCAGTATTTTCTTCGCGCTTTGACAGCATAAGGAAAGTATTGCCAATAACCAGCAAGTGTATTTACATGGTGATCAGCTGTGATTGGACACAGCTGATCAAGTGGTAAAAGCCCGCTGTGATTTTCCCTTTACTATGTCATGTGATCAGCTGTGTCCAAAGGACGCTGGGGGGGGGAGGTGTTGTTCTGGGAGAACGTCATATGATGCCCTCTCAGAACTGGACAACCGCGCTGTAGTCATCATTCGGCTATGGTGCGGTCAAGAAGTGGTTTAAACATTATGCTTTCATCTAGTAAAAACCTGACATACAAGAGGACTTCTATAGTATTTGGTTATCTAGTTAGTACCACTACATTCACTTTAGTAAGAAAAGCTGAATATTTTAACTTACTTATTTTACTTATTTTATTTGTACAAATGATTTTATTAAATTGTATTAAAATGTACCTTCACATTTAAACTACCACTGACAAGTATCATTCTTCCCTCTTCACTTATGTAACTTGCAGAAAAGCTTTTCTAAAACATTCTTCAGATATCTAAGTAATGTCTGTTCCTTAAATAACATTGTCAAGAGAACCAGAGAGCACACAGAGACAGATTGCACAGAACCCAACGTGCTTTTATTGGGGAGGTTTTTGAGGCACAGACAACAGTTCCTTTAGTCCACAGATCCACACCAGACACAGCAACACAGTACAGTTCTCTGGAAGGCAATATGGAACAACAGGGGTATTGTAATCCACAGGGTTAGTCCACACAGGAGGCTCCAGGCAGGGAAGGGTTAAGTCCAGGCAGGTTCACGGAGAACAAGGGGTTAAGTCCAGGCAGGGGATAGATCCAGGCAGGTTCACGGGGACAGCAGAAGATCCCTCCACAGTGCAGGGATTCCAGGCAGCACAGACAGTCCAGGAGATGAGGAGGAGGACGGGGGATGAGAGGAGCTGGCCCTCAGCACAGCCTTCCCTCACACACACAGCCAGGAGAACACACCGGGGGTTTTTCTGCTCACCCTTAAGTATAGAGCTGGTAACCGGATACTTCCTATTGGGTTACCATGGCAACGGGTCCTGTCTCTCAGGTCTCCAGACCTGCCCAGGGAGCCCAGGAATTTGTGCGTGAGGGGGAAGGGAGGAGATGGCCTGTTTGTGGATTCCTTCAGCAGAAGGCCAGGCTGCAAGCCAGGGGGGTGAGGGGCTGATGAGGTCTGCCTGTGTCAGGGACAAAGAGGACTAGAAGTCCCAGCATGGATGGGACAGAAGGGTGGCAGCCAGCAAACCTGGAGGATGGGGAAGGAAGGACCAGCTCCGTGACAAACATAATGGCAGTTTATATGTAGTATCTGACACATTGTTTTTTTTTGTTTGTTTTTTTTTCCATTTCTACAATGGAATTCTTGTTATTATATATATATTATTTTGTTCAACCCCCTGGTCAAATGAAAACATAAAATAAAATGCAACATCTATGCCGACCTAAGACCTGGAGAAAAGAAGGATAAGCTTGCAAAAAAGTAAAACTTAATTGTTCAGTATTTTCAATAACTTTACATAAATCCTTTTTTTCCATCTTTTTAGACACCAGCCTATTTGAAGATAAAATCAAATGTCAATTGTGTCATGTACTGAATCACATGCATGTTGCCTTTGAAAGCCACTCAGTATCATTGTGTCCCATGTGCTATCAATAAAATTTGATTTAGGTCAAAATAGTTGATTCTGTATGGTATGAATATCTGTGCTGGGCAAGATTTAATACTTTTTTTGCTAGAGCAGCGGTCTCCAAACTGAGCAGGATGTGGCCCTTTGTTTGCTTTTATCCAGCCCTTGGGGCAATCTTTAATTCACTGACAACAATGAAGGGGCACCTTCAAATGATACCAAGGATGATGCACAATTCTCCCAATAACACCAACAATGGGACCCAATGACACCAATGATGGGTCATTGTTTACTCCTACTGACGTTGGGACATTTCCTACTCCCAATTGCCACAGTCCAAACCCCATAAAGTCTGAAGGACAGTAAACTGGCCCTTTTTTATAAAGTTTGGAGACCCCTGTTCTAGAATATAGCAATACAACAGCAGTATATAAACTTGCAGCTATGGTACAAATGTGTAAAAAAAAATAGTAATAATAATAATATGAAAAATAATAATAATAAAAGTGCTAGCCATCCCAAAATGAATACTTTGGCTTTAGTAAATGCTGGAGAGTTAAGGTACCCTTCTGGTGCTGTCTTCATGCTTGAGTTACTAGGCATGTACAGCTGTCTGTAAAGGTTATAACAAGTGGGAACCACTATTCCTGTAAAATATCCATGTAAAGCTAAGTAAAGTGCAAGTGTAACACTTAATATAAAAAATATTGATTACCTCTCACAGAGATCACACCGACTATGCTATCTTTGTTCAGACACTATATAGGCTCTGCATTTGTTTTCTGGAGTGAAATGTTAATGGAAAAGGCTAGCTCAGAGATAACACAATCATGTAAAACCTGGTGCCTGTGCAATTCCTAGATAAAATGCCACAGTTGGAGTAATCACTGAAGAAGAGGAAACTGAAGAAATGCTTGCTGTGGACTGCAGCACACTGATGACATAATCTCAGTCTAGGCAATGATGCTTGTATGTAGCACAAGGAGAGAATTTTAATTATAAAAGGTAAATTTATTTAAAATATAAATTATGCATTTGCTGTATTTTGTTTGTTTGTTTTATATGTCAGTTACTGAAAATCATGCTTTAATTCATGTTACTCAGGGAGGATACAAGGATACATAAGAATATTCCAAGATGAGTGAGAGTGAGAGATAGCAGGAACAGAGATAAAGGAGGATCCTATCATTATCACTGCATATTATTGTAAATAGAGGGTTAAAACATACTAGGAACAACTCTACATATAAATATCTACAATAACAACATAAAAGAACATCATTACAAGCTCAGAAAATATAAAAAACTGCAATAATCATTTTTGTCATGTGGAATAAATGTGGAATAAATGATTGCTCCGGAGTGTTGCTAATTAACTAACATAACATGTAATAAATAATAGAGATAACCTTCAATTGGCCCTCATTTTGTTGAAAATCAGGAGGTGGAGGAATCATTTTCACTCATCCTTCTCTTCCCCTCCACCATTCTATTTTTTGATGTTTTTTTGTTGTGGGGGGAGTGGGTACCTATTTTTGACAGGCTCCCACTCCCACTTACACAGTTCCTGCCTAGGCGAGAACTACAGATGTTATGCCCACCTACCTCCTTCCCCCTGCAGCCTCCTGGGATATGTCATATGTCCCAGGAGCCTGTGGGACCAGTGAAGCAGTGGGGAGATTGCTGTGAAACAACAGGTTAGCTTCCCACAGTCAAGATGGTGGCACCAAGGCCCCGGAGATTGGTAAAAACCTGCACGGGTGAGGGCAGCACTGAACTCCTAGACTGGTAAAGGTATTAAAAGTCAGATGATACAGTATTTGTAGCTGTTGACTTTTAATTTTTGTTTTAGAAGTAACCATAGTTCCTCTTTAAGGAGCTTTTGATGTTTTTTAAGGGTGCAATTAGCTTTAAATGGCTTATGAAGGTTATGAAAGCTCCTTCTAACTATCTTAGACTTGTTCTCATGCCACAAATGACCCTTAATTATCCTCATTATTTTACCCCCGCCCTCCCAAAAAACATTTCACCTACTACACAAACATATTTTGTCAAAATCCCTCTACTGATCCTTAAAAATAGATCTTAATCTGAAAAAAAAAGTTTGGCTTTCAAACTGTACATCTGCCATTTCCTGGTATATTCTGTATGAGGAGGTGTCAGGTTTCCAGGTACTGGACAGCTTGTTAGTGTCACATCCAATGCAAAGAAAATAGGTAAAGGTGTCAACTGACTACAGTAGTTCATTTTAAAACAATTCCTGCTTGAGTATTTCTTTAGTAAGCATATTGTGTCATGTGCTAACATATTGTCCAAACCTGTGATACTAATGTCAGATAGCCCGAGAGGAAAGCTGATCTTCTGGAACAAACAGAATATCTGAGTGCTGGCGGCTTATTTGAAACAATCAAACAAGTGACAAAATGGGAGTGCTTCACATTGTTGAAAGATTTTTTTTTTATCACTTGGGACTAAGAAAAGATACATATATGGGAACTTCAATGGCATAAACAAAATTTCACCACTGTAAACACATGGATTTCCTACTAATTTATGAAACAGAACTACCTTGTAGAACTGTCCTGAAGATAATACAGGGTTGTTTCAGCAACATGGGTTTTACAGCCACGTAATGTTATTAGGCCCCTTTAACACAGGATGGAATCCAATTTGTTCAGTGGGGGATCTATCAGCTGATCCCCTTCTGAGCAGAACAGAGCGGGTGGATGACAGCTTCCTTTTTCGCTCAGTTTATGCAGATCAGAAACAGACAGAGCCTGCTCTGCTCTATGGGGGTCCGGGTGTAAATGAACTGGCTCTCCATTTACATCCGATTGCCCTCTGATCTGATCCACGATGACAGAGGGGTGTGGGTTCCAATCGTTTTTTTTTTGTTTTTTTTTTAGCAGACTGGATCAGATTTGAGGTAGTCAGGTGTAAACGGACATAAGTCAGTTTGCACTCGCCAGTCCAAAGGAAACATGGACCATCCAATCAGGTCCATCTGAAAAACTGAGAGGTGGACCTGAGTGGATCGTCCATGTGAAAGGGACCTTATAGTTTTGCCCCTGGAATAAAATAAACTGTATTTGTTACCCAGAAGCCGATAGTTACTAAAGGGGCAGAGTTCTCTGTAGAATTTTCCAAATCCCACATAAATCACTCCAAAACTAAAAGACAGCAGTGACCTTTTGTATATCATGCAGCAATGTGACATTACCAGCGGTGGACTGACCATTTGGAAACTCGGGCACTGCCCGAGGGCCCTGGGTCTGTAGGCGGCCCCATGAGATGCCCCTGGTACCTTTCTCATAGGCTTTTTTGAGTTTGGGCAAGGACACAGGGGCTCCATGATCCCCTATTGCCTGGGGGCCCCATGAGTTGTCAGTCCGCCCCTGGACATAACTCACCCTAAATAAATACCCCCTTTATTGTTTTTATGTCCAGTAGTAGGTGGGCTGTTTGAGCATGGGGAGGCATATAAAGCAGCTTTTTTTCTATTTCTACAACCTTCAACAGTTCTGCAATAAATCACTGTTTAAAAGCATTTATAGACATGAGACGATAATCAAGTGAGGATCGGATGCTTATGGGGCCAGGTCACTTGAACATCGGTAGAACAGGTTTGATACGCAACTCCACCAGCAACTGCATAGGCTGTTCCCTTTCTTACACTTTCACGAGAAAGAAAAATTATAATATAGCATATATAACTGCTAGCAAGCAATATTGCAATTTAATGTTTTTAAAAATTATATTTCCTTTTCAATCTTGTTGTGATTTTTTGTAAAATTCAATGCAATATGAAAACCTGGAGGTGTTCCATACACTACTGGTGCACAGAACCCCCTCCCCCAGAAATGTTATTTCCTGATGTGTGATTGGCTCACTGATTTTCCCAGTAGTCTGCACTAAGATACAAGTCAGAATTTAGCCACTCTCTGCAATAACAATTTATTTTTTTTGTGAGATAGTGCCAAAGAGTAAGCTCCTAAAGGGGTGCAGACCCAACATTTTCCTCATTAGAACACTGCAAGTACGTAATTGAAAATAAAAAAATCACTCCTATTCAGATTCACACTACATTGTTCACCTAGAGGAAATATATTTTTTTTCTCTCAACGTAATTGGAGTATACACTGCTATAAAAACAAATGTAATAACTAAAAATGCATAAATAGATACAGGATAGATCTTTTATGAAATATGGCGCTTTTAAAAAATTATACATGGATAAAAAAAACTTACAT